CATTTCCTTGAAGCTTCACGGAAAGTATAACATACACACTTATTCTATAACAAATATCAGCAATTCGATTGTTGCTTTGGTATCGCACGTAGTCGTCGAGTACCACGCCTCGTGACGGTGACAGTCCAGCTCTCCGAGTCATGATTGTACCGTGCTTCTCTTCTGATACAAGCACTATATGGACTGTCGTTGAGATTTACCACTTGAGAACATATGTTCATTTTATTATGAATCTTGGTAAATCAACATACGAAGTCCATAGTTTAGTTACGAGATAACTACAACATAGTTTTAATTACGAGATAACTACAATTGTTTTCTTGTCATCATTGATACACTTCATTGCATTGTGCTTCTCATGTTTATTTTGCAAAGTAGTAGCATATTGTTACAGCTTCAGTGTTACAATTTTCAAATTTTTTCATAAGATGGCAGCACCTCTCTCCTAATTCGTCTGTAGATCTCCATGTTTTACATTGCATTCTAACTATGACATACTTTTTCGGTACGCTTGTGTTCCAGCAAATGAGTCTAAGCTGAAGTTCCATTTCAGTGCAAATACTCACATGCGCCTGCCAGACTTGCGCGTTTCCCCGTTTCTGTTGTAATAGCAGCCATACCTAAGATGATGGTGATTCCTTGGCTTTTATTACGTAAGGGTACGCACACAGTGGAAGCAGGTTTGCCCGCGCGGGCAACCTGCTCCAACCTGCCACAAGAATGAACATAGGATAATAATGTAAGTGTTCACAGTGAAAACCTGTACGAATAGGCTTCTGTATTCTATGGTTTCAGGCGCCAGCCTGAGCAGGTAACCAGCACGCTGGCAACCTGCTTTCACTGTGTGCGTACCCTAAGCTACGGATCTTTCCCGGCTTAGAGCTAGAAAGAACTGCCCTAAGCTTATTATATACGCCGAGAAACCTGACTATGCTAGAAATCATAGTCCAGCAAATTTTCACTAGATGGAGGTATAACAGTTCATTTAAAGATTTTATCCGCCTACCGAGCTGAATCAGCTGATATATCGAGTATGCTTCAGCACGCCGTAAGTAATGCGCGTGACGTTAACGCCAGCAACTCGTTGGCGGGGCGATGCACCAGCGCACGTTGCCGTCTGCTGGCCGGCTGGTCTCGCGAGCCACCTGGCCGTTTGATAGCTGGTGGTCATGCAGCCTGAGGTATGCCCAGGTGGTGGAGGTGGTGTAGGGCAGATGGTACAGCGGAGCACGTGACTCCCGACCTTCTTTGACGTCTTCAGCATTGTGCTACCGCCCGCTGAACACTTGATAGCGAAACATCTTTTGTGACTGTTACTAGCGTAGTAACTGAGAGCAGCTGTCTGTTTTGAAACATCCCTCGTATCATTCGACGACCAATTTCTGTTGGTGACAATGCCTTAGATTTAAAGTTTCGGAATGTTGAAGATTTTCGGAATGTTGAAGTCAGTGCGATTTAATGCAGTCTGATCTGTTTTTTTTTCTGGCTGGCATATTAGTTTCCTTTTAATCTCGCTAGACGCCTGCAGCTCATTTCCCTTTTAGCCAAAACATGTAATATATATGAGATTGATCGCTCCTCGTGAACTCCTCGCTTTCGAAGTGTCGATAGCAATAACCGTCAGTTGCCGACTGGTGGCGGTGCTCCAGACTTGATGTTCTTGTCTCCTGGCAAGCCATTCCATGAAGTCCAGCCAACTCAAGAGCAGTCACCCCTCGAAACTGCTTGGTCTGTCTCCTCAATTGCTGCTGTGCCACGTGTCGTTCATCACACCCTTGCCACGTCTCATTGCCCGTCTTCTTTGGTCGTCAATGTACAGAAGGGTATTTTATTAGCTTCGTTCACCATTAGGATATCACTAACAATTGCCCACAATATATCGGTATTCGGTATTTTTCTCACGAGAAAAGTTGTGGCATTCTTGCTCCGTAGGTTATCTTGGGAAGTTCAATATTTCCTTCCTACTGTCGAATTTTCACTCAATTTAAATACAACACAAATTTGGTGAAGCATTAAAAGTATATAAAAAAACGAAGTCGTTACGCTTGCACCCTTTGTTCTTCTTAATTGAAACGACGGAGAATACATCCTTTCATTCATGTGTTAACTACGAACTCTCTTATTTTGAGCAGTGCCAAATAAATTGTACCACAATCGGACTTTCGTATTTTAGCAGTGAATCAGGAAAAGATAAGAGTTGCGTCAGTATTGAGGTAGGAACGGTAGGGACGGTAAAATGTAAATTACACAGTCCAGGACCCTGAATGCGAAGAGGTTTGTGCAGCAACGGACTGTTTCGTTAGCTTTATTGTTACCGGCTTTTTGAACCCGTCGTCGCTTGCGCAAGCTCTGGATTATTGCGCTCGCTCATGAACAACTTGGTCAGATGTGCAATCGTTCGCCAAATTTATTACCAAGAATAGTGCAAGCTCTGAACCATTAAAAATATAGTGATAGAGGATTTCTTTCTTTTAATGCAAGGTTTTAATCTATCATTTCTCGACATTTTTTAACTGCGTCTTCCAGATTATTTAAAACAAACCCAACAGCATTATTTTTATACTAATTCTTCGTGGCAAGGGTAGAAGTTGTTAACACTACTAAGAGTTATTGTACGTGTCTGTCGCTAGTCTTGAGAAAAGTAGGCATTGCATGGCTCTTAAGCCCGTGTTGATGTTACAGCGAGCATCTAAATGTGGCATTAATAGAACTAGTAAGACTGGTCGCGCCAGTTAACATATACGCGCGCATGCACCCCTCCTTCTTCCTTTTGAAACTGCCCGCGTGCACCACCCTTACCAAGTTCCATTGTCGAGATGCTGGGCCTCCCTGGCCCCCCGTTCTCGTGTTGCTTTTCCCAGCAGCGTCATCGCGTTTTCCTGGAGAGATGTTTGAGGAGTGACTGAGTGCGCTCCACGTAGCTCCGCACCCTCCAATCTAACAAGTAACTTCTCAAAACTCGCTCGACGACCATTTCATCAGTGTACTTCTGACTGGCTTGTGAGCAACGTGCGAGAGGATTACCGGTCGCCATATTCCGCTGTGCTTTCTCTTGTTTCTTGACCTTAGGTGTCGCACCATATCTTCTTGACTGAGTTACTTTGTCAGCTTCATCATGAGTATGCGATAGAGACAGCTGTGCTGAACGCGTGTACCAGCAATAACATCTGGTGTGTAAGGCAGATATAACTGCTCGCTTTATGTACAGCCGCGACCGCGTGTGAGTTTCTCAGTCACGCTATTGGTTCGTTCGCCAATGCTTGCACACGATCCCATGTACACACAAGTCTGTGCTATGGATCGCTGTGTGTGTATGTACGTGTGTAGTTCGATTGTGACAGTGCTCAAGTAACGCCGACCCTACCGACGCTGTCCGCTCTTGATAGCTCTCATTCCTAGAACTCAATTTTATGTGACGACGTGGACTTATTTTTATCCTCATCCTGTTGTGCTCGTCATGATTTGAATTGTGTTGCTTCTTGAGGAAGTTTGTTGCTCGTTTGATAACTTTTTAGAATGTCATTGCTGCAGTGTAATGCATTCGTTCCTCCTCTGATCGCTCGTGCAAATGAACTCCCGTTATTTGCCTGGCCTACATCGACCATCTTATCACTGCAGTTGTCGTGTTCAAGAACAAATTTTTGCGGCTGAATAAGCCAGTATTTTAATGGTGGAGGCGCAGGAGTTCGGTTCATTTTTAGACTTGAAGATTCGATGCAGATTTAATTTCGTTTTAATGAATTCTATGCTATAATTTACGTGCTAAAGTGTTCATGCAAACAACATGTGCTAAAGTGCATTTAGCACATGTTGTTTAGTTTAGTGTTGTTGTAAAGTTTAGTGATCATTGTCAGTGATGTTTAATTGATAATTTTTTCGGGTCCTGATGCTCAGTCAGTGCCTGTGCTGTGCAGAAACACGACGTTGTAGTTTGTATTAAATCTAACTTCATAGAAATATTTGTGGTAACCGTATATGCCTTAAGGCGTTGTAACGAGATGACTGATGGGAAAATAAATCAATTATTCTGTTAACGTTGCATTCTTTGTCTTCTAATTTAAAAAGGTTCTAGATGTGTAAATTTTTAATGGTTGACAATTTAACGTTACGCCATGCCATATTCAACTGTGAAATAGTCTGTGATGAACCGATTCTAGTCAGTGCTATACTTAATTGATGTGTATAGTTAGCGAAAGTATATACAGTCGCAATGCAGCTCAAAGAGCGAGATGAGTGTGCTGCTATTGCTGATATGGTGAGACTGTCGTTCACGTTTACCTAGTCCATCATGCATGCCATAAGCAATAAATTTCAATGTGAAAGGTGAATAATTTATGATGATACGTTCCTCTCATCTGTATTCTCAATAATTTATTTCCTTGAAAAACTGCTTCTGCACTTGCTTCACTCTTTGAATTTTAAGATAATAATTTTGTGTCATAAAGTATGGGACACCAAGTCTAATTAACTAATGATATGTGTGATTAATTAAACCACACCAATTAATATTCAAATAATTGTACGAGTAAGGTTGCAGTTTAATTTTCGACTGTATTGTGTTTGTTTCTGCTTAACCTGATGTAATAATCTTTGTCAATAACAGTGAAATTTCAAATCAAAATATACTTTCAGTGCTTTTACAGCTTATTTCTGCCAATTGCGTTGGACTACCTGTCTATTCTATTTACTACGTACTTTTTACCTGGTTTCTAATAGTGGATCAATCAATTTTGCATATGTAATTTCGTTTTCATGGTGAATTTAAGCATGCGGTTTTATGATAATATTTTTAATCGGTGTTCATATTTAGACCCAGTGCACAATTGGATGAATTCAGATCCTTAAAAGCCCATTATGTCCATGAAATTTGCAAGTAAACCTAATTTCATCATTCATTTGTTGCATTTGAAATGATGAGTGCAGTTTGTCAGTGGGACACCTTCATTTTACAACTGTCATGGATGCCAGTGTTGGTAATATAAATGTATTTTGCGTTACAGCCTCCTGGCGCCGCTCCTGCTCTAGACGGATCTGCCCCAAGCACCCCTGAACCTGGCACTCCGACCTCTAAGAAGAAGAGGGTTCGAGCTCCTCCCAAGCCCAAGACGCCTAAAGCTCCCAAGCCTCCTAAGGAACCCAAGCCCAAGAAAGAGCCAAAGCCCAAGAAAGAAGTTAAGCCCAAAACTCCTAAGGAGCCGAAGGACCCGACTGAGGCTAAACCCAAAAGAATTCGAAACAGGCAAGGGTTTATTCACTTGTTTCTGGAATGTTCACTTGTTTATGTACCATTCAATGCAAAATGTTGCTATACATTAATTTTTACGAGCTTTAATTGATTTCAAAGAACCACACTGACATTCACTGTCCCCTGAAGCATTGCTTTGAAAACTAAAGTTTGATGAGCATCGTTTGAAATCGGACAGGTCTCCTACGTAAATTTGGTTTTCGGATGAGAGAATTGCAGATAAGAAATCCTGCATTCCATATCGGAAAAATCCTGTCTATACTAATTTCATTGGTGATTAATGTGTATGAGGTACTGTGATACAAAATATAACGCTTTTTACTAATTATTGAGTGAGAATTTATCTCAATGTAACGTTTTTATTTACAGAACTCCCAAAACTCCCAAAGATCCAAATGAACCGAAGACGCCGAAGAAAAGGCAAGTTTTGTCAATTTGTATTAATTAATGCATGGGGGAATGATTTCAGTGATATCTAACTAAATGAACGTTTTAAAATTTAAATCATGTCTGGGTGAACAATGTAGTATTACTTGAGCTTTTCGTCAGAGAGGAATATTGGTTACAAAGTGGTGTAGATATTAAATAGGAACATTAATTGTTTGCATGCTTACATTTGTGGTACAATGAATGTTTCACTTGTGCAGAGTTCGAGGGAAGAAAGCATTGGAAGCGCAGAAAGCTGCTGCTGAAAATGCTTCCGCTGCACCCGGTGCCGATGAGATTGCAGTTAGTGCGGATGATTCAAGCGCTGCTCTCGGAGAAGCTGAGGTCGTGCCTGAAGCGGCGCCCTGCGTCGAAGAGTCAAACGAAAATTTGACGTCTGACATGGAACCTACGGCAGATGGTGAAACTGCTAAGCTGGACAACGTGGGAGATGGAGTGGTACCTGCTGACGGCGAAGAGAAGCCACTCTCGTTCGGGGCTGCTCTTGACCAAAGTGCTAAGGTGAGCACTCATAATCCTCGGGTATTGCTACTGCATATCCTTAATATCCTAAGTATGTGTTTAGGACGTAGCATTCCCAGGCTAAGCTAGCGCGCACATGGACTCTTCTTGTCAGAATTTTTCTCTTCTTCTATTAATCTTGTTCAAATGAGAAATTAGTTAATCGAGAAACTCTTGCACTCGGTTATAAATTCTTTGCTTATTTCTCCTCCTAAGAACATCTATAATCTCGAAAGACCGATCTAATACGCTAGAATTTCAGCTGCAGCTAAGTGCAAAGATCGACACATTCGTATCAAGCAGTCCTTCTCTGCACAATGTCCGTTGATTTGTTAACTGGCCTCCTACCTCGGTAATTGATATCAATGACATACAATGAGTAAATTTTTTAGAAAGGTAGTATAATGATTATTTGCAAGTCTTATTTGTAGCATGAAAAGTTTCTTATTTTTTCGTTCTCAACAGGTTTTCATATCAAGTATGCAGGTAATCGTAGTATTCTCATAATAACTGAAAAGTCATTCATTTGTAATAAGTTTCTTCTCCGTCTTTGGCAGGAACAACAAACTACAACCCCTAAGCCCAAAAAACCCAGAATTAGGAGCACTGCCTCATCTAAAAAGAAACCTGCTGCTAAGTGAGTGTTTTGATCGTTATGAGCATAATGACTCGTAAATTCCATATATTCGTGAAGTTATTCAAATTTTTGGCCCGTTTAATTACATTCCCATTGAAATTGTTGTGTTGTACATATCACATTCTAGAAATTTTTTTAAATTGTAATGGGCTTCTTTTTGGAGTTGATGTGCATTATGTTTTATGCCATAAAGTAGGTATAATTTAATACCATAAAATTTATGGTATCCTCATTTCAAGGTTGGCAATACCTACAAAGCGGAAAAGGAAGAGACGAGGTTCTGAATCTGACTTTTCGGACAACGACGAGCAATCAAAGAAAAAGAAAGCTGCCAAGGAGGAAGAAGACGACGATCCTAATAAGAGACGATCTGGTCGAAATCAAAGTAAGACAATGCCACTTTCGACTTTTCTTTACCATTTCGTGTCGCTGAACAACGTACTAATGAATTCTTCTCGCTTGTTATAGTCATATTAATTATCTCGTATCTTTTCGTTCAATTGTTCATTTAAGTTATCGCGCAGACTTTTTTTCAATAACTTGATGATGATTTCCTTGTTGCAGCAGCTGGCTCCCGTAAAAAGTACATTGATGAACTGGACTTGGACTTGTCCGACGACAACGACTCCCCTGCCGTTGCCCCGGCTGGCTCGGAAGGCGACAGACCTAACATGGTTTATGTGGTAAGCAACCCGAATTTTCAAACTGCCTTCACTTCTTAGAAGCATTTCATGCAAGAACGGTAACGGTGAATGTTTCATACAGATTTTAAACATTCAGAATAACTCAGTCTCGAAATTGCTGTTTCGGTACAGTAAAATAGGATAATGTGATTAATACCATATACTTAGTTTGATGACGCATTGGTTCAAGTATCGTCTACATTTTGTGCAACATTGCCGATTAAATTGGTTGAAATCCAGACTTTTTACATTTTTCCCACCCCAAAATATTTTGCACATGTTGTATGTATTTTCGAATTAATCTTTCCAGGACCCTAATAATGAGGACTCAATGGTGGTTCAGTTTATTCTCAATATGCGCATGGGAGAACGCGAGGTAATATCCGACTCTGAAGATGAGGAAGAGAAGCCAAAAGCTAAGAAGCTAGAGACTACTCAGCCTGATAATTCTAAATCACCTGATGAAACTCGAAAAACCGAGGCCGAAGCTGGGAATGAAATGACGAAGCCTAAAGAAGAAGAAACTAAGGCCACAAGCCTAGGCGAAGAGGCGAAGCTCGAGGACCAAACTGGTGGAGAAGAGAAAATGGAAGTTGACGGCGAGGAGACCAAACCTGAGGTCAAGACAAATGAGCCTATCAACGACACATCCACCTCTGAATCTCCGAGAAAAAAGAAATCTTCTGGAAAGAAAATCCCAGTCGAAGAATACTTTGTCAAGTACAAAAACTTCTCTTATTTGCACTGCGAGTGGCGGACAGAGGAGGAGCTTATGAAAGGAGATAAAAGAATAGTTGGTAAAATTAGGCGCTTTATGCAAAAGCGTTCGGCTAGCATGAACATAATGGACTTTTTGGAGGAAGAGTCTTTCAATCCTGACTACATCGAAGTTGACAGAATTCTAGATTCCTCAGAAACTGTTGCTGAGAATGGTCAGATAGTCCGCCATTACCTCGTCAAGTGGAAGTCTTTGCCTTATGAAGACTCCACGTGGGAGCTCGAAGACGACGTCGACATTGCCAAAATTGAAGCGTATAAACTCTTCAAAGATCCTCCGCCTCGCAACGAGCGCAAAGTTAAGAAGCGGCCTTCGCCCAGCGAATGGAAGAAGCTAGACGAGAGTCCAATTTATAAGAATGATAATTCTCTCCGGGAATATCAATTAGAAGGACTGAATTGGCTCAATTTTTCATACTATAACTCGCACAACTGTATTCTAGCCGATGAAATGGGTCTTGGCAAGACAATTCAGTCTCTAAGTTTTGTACATTCTTGTTATAAATATGGTATCCGAGGCCCATTCCTCATCATTGCACCGCTGTCGACCATCCCCAACTGGCAACGCGAGTTCGAAAGTTGGACTGACCTGAACGTGATTGTTTATCATGGTTCACAGGCGAGCCGCAACATGATACTCGAGTATGAAATGTATTTTAAAGACGATAAAGGCCAAAGAATCCCTAATCTTTTTAAATTTAATGTGCTCATTACAACATTTGAAGTGATCATCACAGACTGTGTAGAACTGAAAGAGATCAATTGGCGTGCTTGCATTATCGATGAGGCTCATCGTCTCAAGAACAGAAATTGTAAGCTTTTGGAAGGGCTTCGCTTGATGCACTTGGAGCACAGAGTTCTGTTGTCAGGCACGCCACTGCAGAACAACGTCACCGAATTGTTCTCGCTTCTAAACTTTCTGGAGCCTTCGCAGTTCGCTGATCAAGAGGCTTTCATGAAGGAGTTCGGCAAACTAGAGAGCGAGGAGCAGGTGAAGAAACTTCAAGCTCTCCTCAAACCCATGATGCTCAGGCGTATGAAGGAAGACGTTGAAAAAAGTCTCGCTGCTAAGGAAGAAACAATCATTGAGGTTGAGCTCACTAATATCCAGAAGAAATACTACAGAGCCATCCTTGAGAAAAATTTCGAGTTTCTCAAGAAAGGCGCATCATACGCTAACGTGCCGAGCTTGATGAATACTATGATGGAGTTACGGAAGTGTTGTCTGCACCCTTACTTGTTGAACGGGGCAGAAGAAACGATCCAATCTGATTACAAAGAAATGATAGGTCACAACGTCAGTGAACCCATCGATGTATACCACAACGCCATTATTCAATCATCTGGCAAAATGGTGCTCGTCGACAAGCTTTTGCCTCGGTTAAAGCAAAACGGGCACCGAGTGCTCATATTTTCTCAGATGGTTAGATTATTAGACATCATTGAAGACTACCTCATCTTCAGAAAATTTCCATACGAGCGACTGGACGGCAGAATTCGCGGTAATCTCCGGCAGGCGGCCATCGATCGATTTTGTAAACCTGATTCTGATCGTTTTGTGTTCTTGCTCTGCACTAAAGCTGGAGGCTTGGGTATCAACTTGACAGCCGCTGACACAGTCATCATCTACGACAGCGACTGGAATCCCCAGAACGACCTGCAGGCCCAGGCTCGTTGCCATAGAATTGGGCAGAAGAAAAACGTCAAAATTTACCGACTGCTTTGTCGAAACACGTACGAAAGAGAGATGTTCGATAAAGCTTCACTCAAACTTGGTCTTGACAAAGCCGTCCTACAGTCTATGAATACTGACCAGAAGCCTGCTGCGGGCGGGAACGCTCTTGGTCTCTCAAAGAAAGACATCGAAGACTTGCTGAAGAAAGGTGCCTATGGTGCCGTCATGGAGGAAGATGGCGGCGATGACTTCTGTGAAGAAGACATCGATCAGATTCTTCAGCGACGTACGACGGTAATTCAGCACGAGAGCGAGAAAGGCTCCAGCTTTTCGAAAGCTTCGTTCTCAGCGTCTGCCAACCGTAACGATATTGACTTGGAGGATCCTGACTTCTGGAAGAAATGGGCCAAGAAGGCTGAAATAGATACAGAGGTTCACGAGAAGTCAAGAAAGGTAAGGCGTTTATATTGTTTAATTATGTCAATTGATATATTCTACCTGTTGTGAGTTCCTACATGATGACATTTGGTCATGCTAATACTGAGGGGTTGCTTTACGAAGTAACCTCTATGCGTGCAACTTATTCTCTTTCAGCTGAATTTACTCAGATTCTCTAACTGACAGCTGATTTTTACATCGTGTGCATTGAGCTAATTATGTTTACAGCAGTTGATCATGGAGGAACCTCGGCGTAGAGCCCAGATTCGACGATATGGCCATGACGAGTCTGTGGTGGACTGCAGCGATCTCGAGTCTTCTGAATCTGACAAGGAAGGCAAAGAAAACAATGAAGAGGAAGAGGAAGAAGACGGTTCAGTAGGTGATATTAACATGCGCAGCTTAAGAGCTAGCAAATACCGTCCCAGAGGTGGCCGTGGTCGCGGCAGAGGCAGTCGCGGAGGCAGGTGGGGCCCAAGAAGTTCTCGGTTCGCCCCTGAAGAAGAGTTCAATGATACCGATGAAGTCAGATACGGATACTGGACTAGGTCAGAGTGTTTCAAAGTAGAGAAAGGTTTGCTAACCTACGGCTGGGCGCGATGGAAGGAAATCTTGAAGAGTGCCGAGTTGCGTTCAGCGTGGGGCGAGAATCACGTGCAGGATTGTGCTAGGATGATTCTGCTCTACTGCATCAAGTTCTACAAAGGCGATGATAAGATTAAAAGTTTTATCTTCGATCTCATCGCGCCTACTCTGGACGGCGAAACCAAAGTTCATCGTAATCACATCGGCTTGTCAGCTCCCGTTCCGAGAGGTCGTAAAGGCAAGAAGAAGTTGCGTGAGGCCAAGATGGTAGCATCGCTCATAGAAGGATCTGATTGGGCAAAAGACGATAAATTCGACCCAGACATCCATCTGGATCAGGGCTACTCTCGTCACCTCACAAGACATGCTAACAAAGTTCTTCTGCGGGTCCGTCTTCTCTTCTATATCAAGCAGGAGATCGTCGGAGACTTGGCGGAGCAGGTGGCTTATTTTTACTAGAATTCATGCACATATACAATTCCTTTCCAACAATAGAGTGAAAATAGATTTTGATTGGGTATCTTCTAGTATAAGTTAGCCCAATTAACCGTTGGTTTACGGATAGGTAAACGGTCGTCAATATTATGTCTTGAGACTTTGGCACTTTCCCATTAATTATGGGAAATATTTTTCGCGAGTGAACGCGTGTGCAGTAAAACGTAATCTTATTATTCATTGCGACGCATCCTCTAATAATAAGTCAACTGTAAATATTTGTATGCAGATCGAAAGTGGCGCGAAAAGTGCCGACATTCCAATCTACCCACCACCGACGGAGCTGCCGCCCAAACCGTGGTGGGACGCAGAAGCGGACAAGTCACTGCTGGTTGGCGTTTACAAGCACGGCTACGAGCGCTACAGCGTCATGCGCAACGACCCCGCGCTTTGTTTCCTTGCCAGATGCGGCCCTCCTGACAAGGCAGCGCTGCAGGCTGAGATGAGCATTGCAGTGTACGTCACTCGCGAATATCTTTTCTTTCCTTTAAAGATATTCAAGAAAAGATATTCATTTATTTTTTTACCTTTTTAACCCAATTATCTTGATCTGGAAATAACTTGTCCAAGGTTTAATTCTTGGTAGAAAAATGCAGATTGATTGTGTTTCAGTTTACTTGCTGTATTGATGTAAATATGTTATGTAATTTTTAAGACATTCTGAGAAAAATACAACACTGAATGCAGATCGTCAATTTTCTTGAAGCTTGAAAATCATAATTCATTACTCTCGACTACTCATAATTGAAATATTCAATACATCAACATCCTAGTGGTATTTCAGCACATTAGAATGCTCATCACTCATAAGTATCAAAACGACTCGCTTCTATAAGATGGCTTGCCATAGCCATTAGCCACATCAACTGTATTGTCACTGCACTGCGTTTGAGCTCCTTTGACTTGATTCCGATTTTTACACCAATTGAATTTTCTATTGTGCATAAACTAGTGTACTTCGAATTTAATGTCTGGTACATTCTTCCATCATATTGATTGCGATAATTTTTATGTGATTTGCAGGAATGAAGAGGACATGGATAAGGAAGATAAAGAAGACGACAAGGAAGACGAAGACTCGAACCACACGCCGTTGCCCGGGAGCCCGGCCGTGTCGTGCTCCACTACGCGCTCTGACGAAGACAAGCTTGAAGACAAGGACAAAGAGGAAGGCATCCATGCGGTGCGACAGTACCTGTCCTACCCCAGCACATCTGACATCAATGGCCGCCTCCGAAGGGTCGTCACTTCTTATCAGCGCAGCAACAGGAAGGTCGAAATGCGCAATGAAGTCAAGGTTAGTAAGCGTAGGAATTTCAGCCAATCGACTTCTCTGTTCCTAATATGGTTTTAAATAGAGATGGATTTATACTTTCATAATAATGTAGATTGATGCCTCCTTTAGAAGTATCTAATTTCAGCGGCATATCTGTGATAGGCAAGTCTTGTTCCCGTTCAAAGTATTGATATTTACGGAATCAAGTATTGCACCGAATTCTATGTTTGTACCGTCTAATTACAATTACTAATGTCGACGACAAATCGTACTAAAGATATACTTCAAGTTTTGTTTGAATTATTTGAAGTTGATTGCGTGTATCCTGCAGGGGCTCGACCACTACCTGGCGGACAAGATATTGCGGCGTGAACGAATGGCCGAGTACATCCGAGAGCGCGAGCTGCGACGCTCTGACTACAATCAGCGGCGCTGGAGCAACAGAGAACAGGCTGAGTTCTACCGCACCATTTCCACTTATGGCGTCGAGTATATCAGGTAGCTGCGACACATTCACCACCGCATTATTACGTGATTAAGTTTACCATAGTTTTATTTGTGCACGCAATGCGTCAGAACAAGGGAATAAGTAAGTCAGTTTTTCGGTCCATTGGTCACTCTGAATTGTAGGTGTAAAATTCATTAATAATTTCTTATAAATCTCGCATTTTATTGTTATTGTTGTAATTATTATTATTGTTGCAATTATTATTATTGTTGCAATTATTATTATTGTTGCAATTATTATTATTATTGTAATTATTATTATTATGCAATACCATACTAAGGTATATTCTTTGAAGAAAACCATGTATACTCAAATTATAAGTACCACTATTGAATTTTTTATCAGCGACTGCTAGTTAAAGCAAAATTTACATAGTAACCCGATATTTTCATCTTTAAAAGGCCGAAACTCGTCTCATGACTTGGTCTGTAATCTTGTGTTTCCTCATTTACATTCCTTCATTTGACTACAATCTTATTTTTTCTGTGGTGGCAGGAAAGAGAAACGTTATGACTGGACGAAGTTCCGTCAATTGTCTCGCTTGGACAAGAAGTATGACGAGACGCTGTCTGAATACTTCCGTGCGTTCATGGCCATGTGCAAACGGCAGTGCGGCATCAGGCTCTCCGAGGGCGAGAATGCTAGTGAGTTCAGCCACATCTCGAATATGTTGCATGCCCTATGAGTGTTATATCCTTGAAGACTGTAGATCGGTTTACATGAACTCGCAATTTCAAGTCCTTTCACTTTTATTTGGCAAAACGTAGTTTACTTAATGCCTTTTATGCTGAATTTCAAGTTAATGCTTTGTGGTTGTGAATACATTAATGCATTAGAAGCATTAATTTTGTTTTAACATCAACCTGGTTTCTCCGGTTTGAGATAATTTTTGCGGTAATCAAGTCACATATACAGGATTTGTTCATTTATGCAATGTGTAGGCATTCACTAGCTCAATGAATTGATTTTATTTAGATTAAATTTTTATAGAAGTGCATGTATTAGTTCCATATTTCTTCCCCTTCCATTAAGACGATTTTTTTTATTTTGACTATTTGTTATCACTTTTTTCATGTTCATTGCTCATCCCTGGACTCATTGCACAGAAATTTATGCTGTGGGTGTTGACCGGCTTCCTGAAGAGCGAGCTCGTCGCGTGCTGGAGCGCGTCGACCTCCTCAACAGGTTGCGTAACGACGTCCTGCCCAGCCCCGCCCTAGAGAGCGCATTGCAGCTCGCACTGCCATCAAGAGATATGCCTGACTGGTGGATCCCTGCCAAGCACGACCTCGACCTCATCAAGGGAGTAGCTCGGTGAGACAACATAAAAAAAAACTTACGACCATAGAAGGGATTTCCGTTTTTTGCATAGGCGATTACATCAATCCTATCTTTATCTCCTTAATTTCTGATAAGAAAATTAGCTTCGTTTACACGATGGTGTATATAAACAATCGAGATGGCAAGAGAGCAAAGTTCTTATTTGTTTAGTAGCGAGAAGTATTACTTGTGTATTCATGTTGGCGTTGTACATTAATGAAGTCCTTCTTTACACGATTACATTAATGAAGACCTTCTCTTCTTGCAGGCACGGTTTAGGTCGGACAGACTACTATATCCTCTACGACAACGACCTCTGCTTCCGAGAGATAATCCGTCGTCACAATTCTGGCGAGCCTCTCATTACGGCGCAGGAGAAGAACGAGCTCTACAAAAAGTTTTTCCCTGAAAAGATGCCGAAGCAAGGAAATCAATTACCGCCTGAAGAAAAACCGGTACAAAAGAAGGAAAATGTCGACATGCCAAAAAAGGTGGAGGTTAATGCTGTTGAAAGTGAAGCGGAGGGAAAACCTCTGAAGGCAGACGAAAAACTTAACCCGGCTGAAGAGAGTAAAGAAAGCGTACCTGAAATCAATAAAATAGATGAAAAGGAGCCGGCAAATATTGATGATGAAGCTGCTAAGATGGAAACCGAGAAAATAACTGAAGAAGACGAGCAAGAAGCGCCTAAATCTGAAGGCTCGCCGAAGCTTGATGAGAAATCAGGGATGCTTGATGAAAATGAAACTACTAATCTTTCGGAGCTAGGAGAATCTCAAAGTGCTGTTGTGGCTCACTCAGATGAAAATGAAATTACTGATCGTGAGGCAGAGAAAATTAGGGAAGAGTCCATTTTAACATCCAATCTTGCCTCTGGTGAAACTATGGAGCAATCTGCCATTGCCGCCCCTTCGGAAGCCAACCCCAACAAGAAAGTCGAAGAGGGAGAAAAACCTAATTCTAATGAAAATTCAAATGAGAAAGAAGAATCCAAGTTAGATGACGTTGAAGATTCGCAACCCAATCTCGAGTGTAGCCCTGATGGTTCCACTGTCGGTGATAGAAATAACGGAGTTGAAAATTCTTCAGACGCAGTTGAAGCCAATCAATTGATAGAATCCAGAACTGAATCTGAAAATGATTCAATAATAAAGGCTGACAAATCTGAAGTTAAAGAAGAGTCAATTCAGAAGGTGGAAAATACTGATATTAAGAATGAGGAAGATGTTCCCTCCAATTCTGTGAAAGAGGAAGAAAAGGTTGACGAAGAGAAGCCTGATCTTGAGTTAATACCGGTCAAGACTGATTTGAAACCAAAGGATGCGTTGCTCAGCCTTCAGCAGATGGACGAAGCCATGGCCAAACTGGGAGCTGCCAACCTCGATCCCTTGGTGACGAGTGAGCCCACCGTCGCACAGCTCCTGGCGCAGTCAGCCGCAAATCCTATCAAGTGGCCAAAAGAAAGAGCTATACAAAATAGGGTTGAACATATTATGTACGCTGTTGAGAAGAACAGATGGCCTGTTGACAAGTATTTTCAGACCACTGATTCCGAATCTCGTGATATGTTGTTGCATCACCATCATCAGCAGATGCAGCAACAGCAACAGCAGCAACTACAACATCAACAGCAGATGCACGAGTCTGAAAGACAGCGAGCGGTTGATGCCGAGTTGGAGCGAGCTCAGCTCCATGCTCTCTTGCATCCAAACCTACATCATACGTTAGGTTTGAATAAGGGAGGACTATCAGCAAGTAGCCTTAGATCATTCCTCGAGTCTGAAGGAAGAGAGAAATTATCTCAAAGTGACAGCAATGCCCTACGTCAGTTGCAAGCTCTACAGGGTTCTCTTGATCTTACGATTCGACCAGTGTGCAGTAATGCCAGTCAAGCTCAGCTCGTGGAAAGCATGGCTGCTCTTGCCCCACCTCCGAGGAGAGGGCCTGGTAGACCTAGACTGGATGACCCGTTACGTGCCGCCGAGAAGCGGATGGCTGAGCAGCTTCACCATCTCCAGCCTCAAGAGAAGAAGCGAAGGAAGCTAGACGAAATTGTCATGGGACTTTCAAGTAAAAGCAAAGGTCCTGATCAAATCACCTCGCTCCCTAAGGATACTAATCCTCTTTCTTTATTGAGAGGCTCGGCTGTTTCACTGTTATCTCGTGACAAAAGTATTCTAACAAACGCTATTTCTAGTCCTCGCCTCTCCACTAGTATTAGTATATCTCAGTCTTCTGACCACAAACGGCCCGACAGCAGAGACGGGCCGTCAACTCCATCCAAATCAAACCACACAGTGGATTCGTCTAGTGGTCGACTTGTTAACAAAACCGATTTACCTCCGGGCATCAGCTTACCTCCAGGAATTGAACTGTACAGACCTAATGAGAGCAAAGTCGATAAGTGGCTGGAACAACACCAAGGCTTCCTTGGTGAGGGCTCTCCGTCCAAGGAAAGTGCCTCCAGCAGTTCAAGTCGCAAGCGGCGTTTGGAGGACTGGAGTTCTCAACTCACTGGCGAAGAGCATGTCCCGCTAATACATTCCAAGACTGGCCAGAAAGTGAGTTGTACTTTTTTCTTTTTAATCTCATAGATGATAGCATTTATCTACATGCCTCATTTTAGCATGTCAATCATTGAGACCAGTTCTCTACTCCTTCTATCAATGATGTAATATTTCAGGTCTCGACTTATTTATATATTGTTGAAATTTATGTACATTTTATATCGGGGGCTTTGCCTAAAATATATTATCTAATTTACAGGTACCAAGCAGCGATTCTCCCAAGTTGAAAAACCTGCAATTGTGGCTTATGGAACATCCTGGATTTGAAGTTGATCCCAACTGGGCTGAGGCGATGACCAGAGAGCGTTTACCCTCTCTCACATCAAGCTTCCCCGATATCCACAAGCGCCTTGCAGATAAAAGATTCCAACATCCTAGTTCATCACCTAACCCCCCTGTGAGCTCGCCAGCAACAGCCACTCCCCCTTCGGCGTCCCCCTCCTTATACCAACCGTCCCCGTCGCCGAAAAGTGGTCACATTGACCCTTATGATCTTAGAAATCCACTCACGCTTTCTGCTCTCACAGGGATCGATCCAAAAATCCTTGCATCCATTGATCCTAAAACTTTGGCATGCCTCGACCCTAAGATGTTGAGTGCTTTTAAAACCCCTGGATTAGATAGCAAATTACTTGCTAGCATGGGCATGGATTCGAAAATTTTCAATATGCCTTCTTCGCGATCGCAAGATTCTCCTAAACCTTCTACCTCACATTCCCCCAAAAACGACTGCCGAAATTTATTGGCTGGAATAGACCCTAAGATAATTGCTGGTCTGGATCCCAAAATGCTGGCTGGATTAGATCCAAAGATTTTGTCCAGCTTAGATCCGAAGATAATGGCTGCCTTACTGGATCCGAAAGGCATGGGTGTTGGACCGAGTGGTAGCGGCGGCACCACGACGCGCAACAGTAGCCCGAGTCCCAGTGGTAGTACCAGCAGTGCAGGGAAGTCTCGCAACGCACATCAGTCAAGTCCTCAACTCGATTATAAAATGTTAGCGGGCATGGATCCCAAACTCTTGGCAAGCCTCGACCCCAAGATGCTGCAGCATGCAGGCTTTGATCCCAAAATATTAGCATCCATGATTGGTGCTGATCCGAAGATGTACGGTTTTGACCCAAAAATGATGGGTTACAATTTTGATCCAAAATTATTGGCTAATCTCGATATGGACCCAAAGATGCTTGCTAGTTTGGACCCTAAATTCTTGGCAAGTCTAGGGCTTGATCCCAAAATGTTCGGTATTGACCCTCAACTGTTCGGAGGAGCAGAATCTAAATCTAACTCTAGCAATATAGACTCAAGAATGCTCGGAGGCCTCGATCCCAAGATTCTTCGCAGTCTTGGTTTGGACCCCAAAGCAATCGCTAGTATGGACCCTAAAATTCTTCAAAGTCTTGGGCTGGACCCTAAAATGTTCGCCGGTGCAAGTGCTGAACCTAAAGCCCCTGCTGGCATTGATCCAAAACTCTTAGCGAGTTTATGGCTCGACCCGAAAATGCTTTCGAATATTGATCCCAAGTTACTAAGCAGCATGGGTCTTGACCCTAAAAGCATGGCAGGCCTTGGGTTCGATCCTAAAATTTTATCTGGCGGAGGTATTGATCCCAAGCTACTTGCAGCGTCTGGTTTTGATGCTCGAATGTTAGCGAGCATCGATCCGAAAGTTATGGCTAGTTTGGGCATCGATCCGAGATTATTTGCTGGCATGGATTCAAAATCGATGGCCGCTCCCGAAACAAAGCCTAATTATGACTCCAAGATAGGAGGGTTGGATCCTAAATTTCTTGCAAGTTTGGGCTTTGATTACAAGACCCTTGCTTCTCTTGATCCCAAAATGCTTGCTAGTCTTGGACTTGATCACAAGATGCTTGCTAGTTTGGACCCTAAGAACTACCGAAGTCAGAAGAAGGCGAGCGAGCCTCGGCGGCAATCAACGAGCAGTAGCCTAGACACCAACAAGCTGATGGGAGGCTTGGATCCCTCACTGCTAGCTAACATGGATCCTAAGATGTTGGCTAGCCTTGGTATCGATCCTAAGCAACTCGGACTGGACCACAAGAAAATAAATCTGAGTAAAGAAAACAAAGCATCGTCTTCGCCTGCTACTTCAATGCCGGGAGGCTTTGACGCCAAAACTATGAATGCTCTTGATCCCAAAAATTTGCCTTTACTTGACCAGAAAATGCTTGCTAGTTTAAGCATGATGGATCCTAAGATCTTGGCGTCTATGTACGGTGGTATTGATCCTAAGCAATTCGCGGCATTGGATCCAAAGATGGCTCCAAGTTTTGACCCAAGGATGCTGGCCAGTCTAGATCCTAAAGTTTTGGCGAGCATGGGTATTGATCCTACGATGCTGATGATGATGGCTGGTATGCCTGGCATGAGCAATCCATTCATGGGCGGTTTGCAGGGCTTCGGTATTCCTGGCCTCGGTATTCCAGGCATGCCTCAGACTAGCGAAGCTCATGCCTCAACCTCCAAAAGCAGAGACGGTGGAAGTTCTTCTAAGAGCTCGTCTTCACAAGCTGCTAACCAGGCAGGGCTTCTATCAGGGATGTTTGGCGGCGCTTCGGCAGCCAGTTTACTATATCCGCACTTGGCTGGCATTCCATCTTTCCCAGGGATGCCTCAAAGTTCTACTTCTTCGTCTTTGCTCAACGGTCTCACGTCTCCAAGCGGACGAAGTCCACGTCTTGAAGCCGGCCAAGATCAGCGAGGCAGCTCTTCTAAACAATCCCAATCCAAAGACAAAGTTAACACAGGACTGTCGAAGGAAGAGAGAAATATGCTTAAGCACATGAAAGCCGACAGGCTTGCCCGTGAGATGGAGTCGCAACCTTCCGAGCCACCTCAAGATTTGTCTTCCCCCAAGGTATCACAGGAGCAGCCGGAGAACTTGAGTCGTGCCAACACCCCGGGAACTACTTCTTCATCATCGGCTGCTGTCGAGCCTGCACCTGATGCTGCTGAACCAGAAGAAAAGGAAGACGAATAAACTATCTTCAATTCTCACAGTTTTCTAGCTCATATTCATTGTCAAAAAAAGTCACTTAATTTATGTAAAAAATTCGTTCATTAACTAGAAAAATCTTCTTTGATTTTTCTTGTACATTTTTTAATAATGACAAAGAAATATTTGTTGAAATTACCGACATTTTGTTTTTACATCCAGTGAAGACGGTGAATCAGGGTCACAATTGACAGTATTTATGGACCTTTTTCGTTGTCGGTTTCAACCAAATTTCACACTCGTACGGAAGGCCTACGCTTATGTGAATACTGTACCTTTTAACTTTGTGTTAATCCGTTTAATATATTTAACACGTGGCTTGACTCCGCTCGTTCCCATGAATATTTTCCTTCTCTCAGAGGGTGTGGTTTAGTTTTCTCGTTACTATTAGAAAATGACGTGATTATGCGTTGTTTGTATTTAATTTAAATTATGTAATTTATGTCTCGCGTTAGAAAGTTAAGAATTCGCAGCAGGTGAAATCAGGGATTACCGCCCCACATAACTCGTCTTAGGTATTTATTACATTTGAAGTTGAAGATAATATTTCTATTTTGTGACACTTCTTGTGAATTACCTGACATTCTTAACTTTCCGTTATTTGCCGTGCTTAGAGCTGAGCTCCCGTTTCTCTCCACTTGACCAGAAACTGTGATACTCAATTGACGTGACATCTGCTCCCCTTGACGCCACATTCTTGGAGTATTAATTGCTGGAAATGTGGGTATTGATTTGTTGTGCAAGTCTGAATATCCATGACTGCGTGCGACGCAGCTTTGTTGAACAAACAATTGTATTGTAGTGTTGTGCTAAGGACTTCTACTCTAGATCTGATTATGGATAGTTAGATTCAGGCATACATTCGTTCAGGTGTCATTTCGGGAATTGAAAAATCAGTTTCACTGTTCCAGTAGAAAACACATTTTATAGTTAGTGTCTCTTAAATGTGCTTTATAAGTCGAGTACAACTTTTTTTCTTGTTTTTCTTTAGGAAGGCTCTACTCTCTTGCTTGTAAATACTATGATATCGAATTTTGTAAAACGTATGTAAATTAGTGTTCACTAAATTAAAGAGGGAATATAGTGAACATGTTTTATATTATATAAAGATTTTCATTACCCTATAACCATCTAGATTTCGGAGACGTTCTTTGATCGCCTGTCGCTTACTGCGATCAATGTCTTCGTAAAACTGAACTGTTGGCAAGAGATTCATTTCTCCATGGAAATAATACTGTAATTGATTATTCAGGCAATATGCGTCGTTCTTCGAGATTTGAATACAAGGTATGGAGTTCATTGATTTTGGAATGTGTCTTAAAACATCAGCATGGTTGAGTAAATTAATATGTTTATCTTTGTACCTATATAACTTTGTAATTATTAGATCAGCGTTTCCAAATACTTGACACAAGAGCTGCTCTCTGAGCAGACCATGACGGAATACAGTTAAGAATGGAATAACCATGATGGTTTTGACTGCCCATTGATAAGAGGAAGCCTCGTTTCAATAATGCTTAAAGTTATAATTTTCCATTTTTCATAACTTATACTTTTTAGTCAATATTTACGAAAATACGGTTGTGTTGTCACTTATTCCTAGTGAGACGGCACGATCGTTATCTTGGTACTTGTTTGGGACGTAGCCGTCCCAGGCCACGATGAATCGCCGCCTCTGATTATCGTTCATACGCCCTCATTTAAGCCACCTGATGCACGATGCTGTAGCTTGCTTCTCGCCGCTGGTAGTGTTGCAGGGGAGGCCAATCTGGGATTGTGCTCAGGAACACGTCCAGTTGTCTCTTGAAGGTCTCCAGGGTGAACTCCCCCTCTATTAGATCCTTAGGTAGAACGGTAAACAGCCTTGGCCTTGCCACGGAAAGTGATCCTTCCCGCAGGGATTGAAATCTGACTGCGGATCTGTTACGTAGTGAGGGGATCTTGCACAGTCTCCCCTTTCTCTCGTTGTGATATGTCTCAATCCTGAAGGCCTCGCTCTTGAAGTTTGGCACCATTCCGGTTATCATTTTCCATGTGTACAGAATGACATACCTCTCCCGTCTCGTCTGCAGTGAGTACAGGCCCAGGCGCCTCAACTTCTCCCAGTAGTTCAACTCTTCCATCCCTCTGATCCTGGAAGTGAAGGTTCGCTGGACACCTCCCAGTTGCCGCACTGCGCCGAGTGTGAACGGGGTCCAGGGCTGGCAGCAGTATTCAAGAGATTGGTATTACAAGGTCTCTAAAGAGTGTGATCAATGTCGTTATGCGATGTCTGGATACATTCTCGATATCGTACGCTGAATAAAAATACACCAGCAAAGTATTTAAGCTAAACATATTGCTCCTCGGTTTGCCAGAGATCCATTTTGACATTTTTAATAGTTGCCTTATTATTCTAGCGATTTAATCTTTGTAGACGGTATGAATGACCGATTACGGTGTCCTTGTCATTGGTGTTATTTTCAAATTGTAGCATGGGTCAAGGTCACTTGTTGATGAGCGTAAATATATGTCCGACAATTGTTTTGCTGTTATTGTAAAAAATGATTTTGGTACCTGTCTTCAACCCCAATTCTATTTTCCAGTCTTACTTTATCAATGGTTTCGAATCCGTATAGCGATAACTATAAGTTACCATTAGGTACTATCTTGAAGTGTTGGCAGGTGGAAGGTATAGTAAGCCATTTTACTGTTGGCAATATATATTATGCTTGCTTACAAAAACCTCGTTCTCCTGATCACTAATCAACACTCCTAGCGTAAGAAGAAGCTATTGACTATCCTTCAGGCGTGGCTGGCCTCACAAGGCGTGGCGGTCCAGCGTGTTTGGTGCCCTCAAGTGTGGTTGGTATCCTCAGGCGCGGTAATTGTTCCCGTGTGTAGTTGGCGATCCCAAATCAGGTAGATACGTAATTCTCCGGCCAAGACTGGTCTAATCACTGGCCACTGCCATGGTGGCCTTCCTGGAGTGGTTGCGAGATATGGAGCGATCTCTAACCTGGCGTGGTCGCCTCCTTAGCGTGGTTGCCCCCTGAATGAACCCTCCTACAGACGTGGAGCTGCATGGACCCGTCTCCGGAGCTCTAATAATAACTAAACAAGGAGAAGATGTTCTTTTCTCACATTCTTACATTTCAGATCCCGGTAATATCCCAAGGCCTCAATAATCGTAGATAGCCGCACAAGCCGCGCCTGTAAATTTTTACAGGTATCAAGCGAGCACATAAACAGTTTCAGACAAATATATGTATAAATTATTTACACAAAGCTAAACTTACGTTACCTATTTTAATTTGAAATCAAAGTATTTTCCGATTCGCTTCAAATTTTACTCAGTACCGGACCGGTCGCGCATGGCCTCCATTTTCCGTGAACACTTAACCCGCTTGGTGGCTCTCTTACACTTGTGATCATATTTCATAGCTCGTAGGTACTTTTCAGGAGGATGGGAAAAGGCCCAAGGCAGATTCAGACATGTTTTGGTAATTTGGTCTGAGTTGGTGTCGGTCAATATCTATGTCGGATACGGGCCCGTAGGTGTTGCCGGGGCCCGGGATATCAGATTCAGACACTCGGACTCTCGGAGAACCAGGACGTCCATTCTGTGATTTTGACGCACAGACCCAGTTCTCAAATAGGACATGCAGTGCTGGGCAACATAAGCACACCTACGGGCTATGGCCTAGGGTTAAGAGATATTGTCAGGGAACAGAACAGCAGACATGTAAAGAGTAGGGGAGCTTCCAAGGTTACTGCCGCTGGTACTGTACTGGTATACTCCCATGGATATTATGATTTCTGAAGTAGACTTAGATCTTAACATGTTACATGAATACCTAACAAAAAGAAGCCTGGTAATAAAAAAATTGAACTCTCTAGTCTCTAGGTATGTATTAATTTTAACATGTAATGCGGTCAAAATTTTCTAAGGTATATATATATATTTTTTAACTTTGCTTCCTAGTCAAAAGAAGCTAGCAATACAAGCCTGGAAATTATTTACCATATGCAGTAGTGGGAGGCCTAACTTTTGATAACACTTTAGCAGTGTTTGGTCTAGTTGTTGAAAAGTTTTGGGGAATTTATTATGCCAGATATACCAAATACTGATCAAAACTACCAATGTTGTGTTCAACTACCACATAATAATTGTGAGGGTAGTTTGGTCTTGCCAGAAAGTTGTAGCTTAGTTTTGTTTATATAAAACATTATTTCTTTTGAAGTCCAGTGCTGTTTCAAAGTTCAAACTAAGTGATATACCTATGTAGGTAACATACCTAAGAAAAAATCAATGTCAATTTCAGGCTTTTGACATTTAATTATGTTATTTTAGCAACTTTTAACTGATGGGGTATGCTTGATGGATAGGAGAATAAAAATCAACTGAGAAAAAACTAGCTTTTTGCAGCTCAACATTAGCTGTCAGAAAATAGGGTTTGTTTCAACTTCAAGTGTGTATTATATTTTTTACTTTTATCTTTTCAAGTTTTCAAGATACATTATGTCTGATGCAAATGATCAAAAAGAATCTATGTCTGAGCTGGAAAGAGCTGCTGCAGAGCTAGACTGGATTGCTGTCCATGGATATGGAGATACGTCTCCTAAGAATGATGAAATTCAGCAGCGTGCATTGAGAAAGTTTAAAGAAAATCCATTCATACCCATTGGTGAGATAATTCCTTATGATAGGTTTTTCCTAAAAAAATGTAAAATGAAGGTCCTCAGCTTAATAAATTATTCATAATATTAATATAGAAAGATTCACAGTATATGGTGTCACATGCTGAAAAAAGATTGATGCGTTTTTTCAGCTCAATTATCTATATTGGCAAACCGTTTAATCACATTTCAAATGAATGAAGTTGTAATTTTCAGTGACATTAGTCTTGGTGTCTTATAAAATAGATGAAAGTTCAAAGCTCTTTGCCAATTATATTGTTAGAATGTTATTCCTGCTCAAAGTGCTTTCCTACATAAGATTCACAGGCCATTTATTTGGGCAGGATGCTTGGCAACTGCTGGAATATTAGGATTGGGACTAACAAGTATGATGAAAGGTAACCAGAAACACTCCCAGCTCTTCATGAGAATGCGTGTAACTTCACAAGGACTGACTGTTGCTGCGCTGGTCATCGGAGCCATTTTTGGAACCAAGAGCATGTAATTTAACCAGGGCTCACCATTTATGCACTGGTAATTGGAACCAAGATAATCAAACACAGCTCTGGTAATTTCTTATTACTATTGTTTAGTTGTAATACATTTTTTATTGTTGGCATGCTGTTACCAGGTGTTACATTAAATAAACTTGCAATTTTTCATTTTATGAGCCCTGCACTAGAAGCTCGAGCATTTTTTTCATTGGTCTCTCATTGAAAACGATCTGCATTGAACATGAATCACTGCATAGTTGTTATTTGTTTACCCTTCTTAAATTCCTCTTGATTTTCTCCATGAAACCCATTTTTCACCGATTCAGATGAGCACTCAAATAGTTGAGATATATCTAGGCAAATTCATGTTCTATATTGATGAATATTAGCCATGTATGCAATGCTGCATTGCTGCTCACTGATATTTGTGTGAAGTGTACATAGTTTGGCATTCAACGATGTTTTCATCTTTGAAGCAGTGCATTTTTAAATTATCAAGTACTAAAAAATTATCTTTATTTTATTGATATTATTTATTGATTGATATTATGGAATCAGCATATTATAACATAATGTATCTATAGAAAATCTTCGTTCATATTGATAAGTCATGTAAATCTAAATCTATGGGAAAGGGAGTAACTATTTATTAACTCAGTTAAATTTGGAGCTAAAGCTTTATTCTGAATTATTGCCATCGTATTTTGTTATTGCCCAGCAGATTATTTTATTTATTGCAATGTATGGAATCATTGGAAGCATAGACAGCTCTCGTCTGGCTGCCAAATCTTCACTTGAAATATTATTGCAGTTGCTGATCTTTCCTATTGCCTGAACTCGAATATCTTCCAAGAATTATGAATGCATATTACACAAGTTAAAATGTTCGGGCGCCAGGCCTGTTTTTATATTTAAAAATGAGCAGTTTTTGTAAGGTGGCGGATGTCACGTAATAAATTCGCTCTGGAGTTACCGTACCAAGTTATTTGCCCAACGATGTGGTTTTCATTCCAACCAAGCTCCAGCTCACAGGTATTCACGCGAACGAATTTTTTCAATTCACAATCGAATGTATTGAACATGCGACACTAGTAGCCTAGTATGTGCCTTTCTGCATCCGACTTGATACATATTTATTGGTGGTAGATCAAATTGCATCAACTAAGCCACAGTACATTACGTTTCACTCGTCAATAACTTATTTCGATTAAGCATTTATACTTAAGTTGTCGTTAAGCACGGAAAGACCTGGGGCCGTGCAATCAAAACTCGCAAAAGTACACGTAGCTGCTTACGTGCAGTTAGAGGGCAATTTCACTCTGCTTGGTGAGTTTAGCTTGGAAAGTCGGCAGTAATTTGCTGCCGGAGATACGAACTCTTGAATTATTTTTGATAGTACCGCCCCTGAATCAGATTCATTCAGTGATGACGTAAGCGCTGTAACTGTAATAACACATTTCAAGTTCGGAGATAAGGATTTATTCAGTAAACATGGAAACTTCCTATTTACAGAACGAGCTAAGCGAACGTTCGCAGCTTATTTTACTGATTGCAGCTGTACGTACAATTTCCATCCGATTGTGCATGATTTAAAGCTTTAGAATCAATCTTCATACTTGAAAGAAAAAATTTATGACCAAGTTCAAAATTTCCGATGAAATGCAAGTGCTAATTATGGTGAATAATCAGAGATTTCACAAGACATTATCATTGAAGCTGCCATATCCTGCGAGACTCTGTGTGTCGCGAGCGTAAATTGAAGACTAGACATTACATCTAAATTTCATGGCATACAAGCGTTCAGCCTCTACTGACTATGCGGCTACTTTTAACGGTGAGAACAAGTGGAGACTAGCTAGAGACGTCAAAGTGAGAGGAGAGCTCGACAGCAAATACTTGAACGGTTATTTACAAAAACTTAATATCAAACAATCTTCTTTGACTAAAATAAGGACGTCAAAATAATTCAGTCTTGAAACGATGCATCGCTGAACTGGATGTAAAATGGAATCAGATTCAGAGATAGCCTGGTTACCACAAGAAAAGTAATTTAGAAGTTGTAAAATGATCGGGAATAAGGATGATAACTCGGGTGACTCATTCCATGGCGCATCATCAAGATCAAAATAACAAACGACGAACTTACAAATTCTTGCTTAAGTGCTTAAGGTAAACTCATATTTTGAATAAAAACTCGATTACAATAAAAGTTAACACACAAACATATCAACAAACCACACTTAACGGTTTAAAAAATCTAATATGCCTTAACATAATACACTAACGGTGAGGTAACATAGATTGCTAAAAAATTTCATTACTTCTGCCTAATCCAGAAATAGGAATGATGTAGAACGATGTCGGTACGACAACAGTAACGTAAATTTTTTGCAATCCTAGAAACTAAGAATTTTGCCTGCATGGCTTGAGAGAAATAAGGTTAGCACAATGAATAAAATAATATTCATCACCTGATAAATATTGAAATATATAGTAAAAAATACAATTGTTTTGACTAAGTAAACGCTAACATCGCACCCCAAAGAATCAACAGAAGTCGATTTGCCACCTTAACCACACCACAGCCACCTCAACCTTAACCACAGCGAGATCCATGGTTGTTTCTATAGTCAACAAAACATTTTTTGCAAAATTTATCAATCTTTGCAGCGCGAGTTTCTGTTTTTAGTTGCAATGACTTCAATATTCTCATAAGACGGCTTAACTATTGGCCAATAGTTTAACACACTAATGTTTTTCAGCTGAAAACCTTCAAAACTTGAATAGAAAAAAGATCAAGCCGAAGGAACGAAATCATTCCATTAAATACTTGAAGAGGCATGCGGAACAGTGACATGCAGAAAATGTTCGCTATGTTAGAGAAGTGAAATTTTTTCGGTACTCTCATAATGACGTTATCATACAATTGTGCCAAAAATTTCCTGGGAAACTCCAGCTTATTCATAAATTTGCCTTTAAGTTCTATTTTGAAAATTATGAAACCATGGATGGTTATCAGAAAAAATCCTCAATGTGAAAAATAACCTTGGTTACCTATTGCTAGTTACTGCAGCATAATGACCTAGAATCAAATAGGACCAATAGTACAGCTCAGCTTATAACAATAATCTGATAGAGATCTGCATTAATAACGACTAAATGCGATGATATAAGATGTATATAATCACCAAGAACTCACTCAAGTTATCAAGACATTAACGCATTACTCTTGGTGTTGATTATGCGATGCCTGTACTTGATACTCTGCGGTGCTATCCGTAGCCGGGACTCTGCTGAGCAGACTGCCAGCCTAAGCTCTTAACAGAGATCATCGGCCGAGATCGTTTTCTTGACTCGCAGCAGCAGTTTGGTGTACCACTGATCCAGGCGACTGATGGAATCGTACTCGGAAACTGCCTCAGTGAAGCCATCAATGTTGCTTTCTTGAAGATGTCCCAGCAAAGTCTGCAAGTCAATCAGAGCGTAAATAATTACCCAAATGCTATCATAGCATTCTGATTGTAAATTCAATTAATGCAGGTATATCGTCCCATGTTATATAAATTTACAATGACGAACAACCAATCTGGACTGAACTTGTAGTTCAATCATCGAAACTTTTAGGCCTATATCTATCTAGACAGTTCAGCCACTGAACCAGCAACCCTTACCTTGATGAGCTTGCACTCCCTTGAGTCCTGGAAGGCTGGATACTTCTCTTCATAACGACGGAGAGCAGATTCGGCGTCGGTGACGTCATAGCATAAATAACAAATGGAGGCACGGAAGAAATATTCCTTAGCACTGTACTTCAGCAGCGAGCTTCCAAGTGCATTATCACCAACCTGTACCAAAAAGTGATAGAGAATACATTTCGAAACAAAAAAAAAAAACACTTCAACTCTGAACAAAGTTGTGTAATACTGTTCATGATGGGTTCAGAACAACTAAGAAGCATCCATTACATGAAGCATAAGTTCAGTAAACATAGTTAATGGTTTACCCACTGGCTTAGCAACTTGAATGAGAGGTACTCCCTAATAATCTTAAATACTTCATAATTAACGTCAAAATACAAAATTTCTGCAAAAATTGAAGAAAAATGTTCAAAGAGTTGTGATACCTATCAATAATAATTTTGAAAAATTGTGAGATTTTTTAGCATCACCATTTTATAAAATGTAGGTCAACCGAAAATTTGTTCAACCAACACTGACTTACTAATATAGGTACCGGTACCCAATTCTCATAACAGACAATCACCTGCTCATAGATATTGATGGCTTTCTTATAATTTTCCATCTCAGCAGCAAACATGGCTACTTTGAGCTGGCATTTGTTGGCAGATGAGTTGTTCTCTTCACCCCTAAAGAAATCGGAGGCCTGCTCATAGTGCTGAATGGCTTTCTCTATGTCAGCAATCTGATGCAAAACAATATGGTGAATATTCTCAGATGTTTCATTATATTAGCAGCCAAGTACAAAAATTGGATTAAGGTAATAAAATTTAATCTATATTAACACAAGTTTTGAGTCTAGAATTAAATTAGTCATTGCTTTTAAAATAAGTCAGAACTGCAGGTATTTGTTTTCCAAGAAAAACAGTATCATAGAATAAGAGAAAAATATTTATGGTTCGTTTAGAAATGTTGGAATTTATACCTCAGTCTCATAAATTTCTGCAATTGTTTGATGATGCTTGGCAGCCATGGTGAACTTGCCCATGTCTGTGTAGATCTCAATTGCCTTCAGAAGACTACTGACAGCCTCTGTTGAAATACAAGCATTGTGATCCTATTACTAAATGCACTAAAAAATACAATTCAAATGTTTGTGCCATATACACATTAATTGATTAGAAGTATTACTGTACCTGTAGAGATTTAACTCTACTGAATTAAATAAATTGCTCTAAGTTTTCTGAATTTTGATCTCAATCTTATCCCTAACAAAATTCAAGGTATGCTTCAGCTTCCGCCCCAGAGTCGCTATACTCGCGTTAAGAGTTATTCTGGGTCAGTTGGCCAACTGATCGCAATCAGCGACTAGTCAGAACCTCCTTGCCAACTTTATAGTCGCCTGAGAGTAGGGCAAGAGCTGGCAGAATCCCCTCAGTACCCTCACCAGGCTCTGGTAGCTGTCTGATTCGGGGACCGGAATATAGACCAAAAAGCGGACATAGAGAAGCTGATTTACGTTCGGTCCGAGTCCTAGGCGGTTCCTAATTCAGGCTCGCCACCAGCTAAAAATTTTGATAGGGATATTTATCCAAAGAGTTATTTATAGCCTCGCCATCACCAATTTCCCCGAGATTTTTTATTACAATTGTTAAGATTTTAAACTGACACAGACAAAATTTTAGTGCAGAATAACTTAATAAGAAAAAATAGAGAAATAAGGAGAATCAAATTGGGGCTCAGAAATTATTAGAAAATAGACATGTCATTGAACTTCATAAGGGGATTAAAAATAAGTCTCGCCACATTATTGAAAGTATTTTTGTAGTAGAATACGATTAAAGTTACACATAAATACCAAATATTCATTCTTTATTAAAAACTTCTTGAAATGAAAAATTTGTTATTCACTTTTATATCAGCAAAGTCAATTACCTACTTCACAACTAATTACACAAAAATACTAGAACTATACCCTAAACATGCTAATGCAATACATGAGCCATTTTTCAATTATGTTTGACACTGAAATGAAAAATTCAACCTCAACAAAATTGGTAGCGGCAGTGGAAAATACCACACTATAAATTGGCTCCGCAAAATATTTTGAGTTTTGACCAAAATGGTGAGCAACTGTTGAATCGTCAGTTTATTTGCACAATGCACAGAATGTCAAATAGATATTCTTATCAAACAGTATAGATACTGATTGAAATAGGTACATTGTACATAGCAAGCAAGCACCAAAGGAATATTTTTTTACCAAGTTCAGCTCCAAAATTTGGAATTTTTCAGGTCATTGCTATATTTTTAAATAGCTGAATGATCACTAAAAGGCAATCAATGAGAACCTGAAAATTTTATAAATTGTAACATTGAAAGATTTTGCAGGAAATTGAGCATTTATTTTGTAAGGTTAGGTTAGGAATAAAACTGGGAGAATAGTCAGTGCTTATTACCATCCATTTCATATTGATTACAGAAATAAAAAGGTAGAATTTCTAAGTGCTAGCATTTGCATCAATAGTGACTGACAGAACATTTATCTGTGCTGTGCATGCTTATTAAGTCTGCCCAATTGGGAAAAACTTCATTAACATTTCTTCATTAGGGCTTCAACTGCACAGTATAAATATAAGGAAAACAACATCCATTTGTGTTTTCATGAAATGAATTTTGATGTATACAGATGCGGAGTGAAATTTTTAGGCATTAATCACAGCAAGTCCCTCATATGCCTGGACGAGGTTAATGTTTGGTGTCTACAACAAAATCTAAATTCACTTGTAGGAAAAAAGGAGAATGTACCATATTATTATTACCACACTTCTTTAACTTTACTTCTTGTCTGTCTGTTACAAATCTTATAATCAATATTTAACACACTTCTACCTGTCCAATCGATCTGAAATTTTGCACACTTGCATGAAGTTGGAGATAATGCATGAATCAATTGACAGAATACATTAATATACATTTAAAAATTATCCAGTGTTGCTAATGTTAAAGATGTACAATAAATTTCTCGTTTTATTTTCAAATATTGAAAAAATTAATTTTTCAATTTTTTTAATAGGTAAATAAAATTTTTTTATTATTTATTCTGTCAATTGATTCATGTATTGCCTCCAACTTCATGCAAGTGTGCAAAATTTCAGATCTATTGGACAGGTAAAAGTGTGTCAAATATCAGTTATAAGATTTGTAGCTGACAAAATTATTTNAAGGGAAGGATTTACAATAATATCTCTTTAAATGTAATTTAACGCACTTGTCCCATGAAGGTGACACGGGATTTACCATAATAAATATAATTATCATAATAATATTTTATGTTTAAAAATTACTTTTTAAAGACAGCACTTCAAAAGAATCCAGTGTCTCCAATCTTACAGATGTACAATGAATTTCTCATTTAATTTTTGAATTAAAAAAATTAGTTTTTCATTTTTTAATACATACATTTTTTTAATATATAATTTTTTCAAAATTAATTATTCTATTAATTGATACATGCATTGCCTCCGACTTCACACAAGTGTGCAAAATTTCAGATCAATTAGACAAGTAAAAGTGTGTCAGATATAAGTTATAAGATTTGTAGCTGACAAAATTATTTTTTCAATTTTATTTATATTGAAAAAAATTAATTTTTAAAATCATTTATTTTGACATTTTATTCATGCATTGTCCCTAACTTTACGCAAGTGTGCAAAATTTCAGATCGATAGGATAAGTAGAAGTGTATTAAATTTTGATTACAAGATTTGTAGCAGACAGACAAACAAACAGACAAGAAGTGAAGTTAAAGAGAAGTTGTAAAAAATAATGATAATAATAAACCTGAATGTAAAAATAAATAAATAAAATAAACCAGAAATATGAAATAAGAGTGACTCACGGTGGGGATCTGATTTCTTGTAACAATTTCCAGCTTCAACAAAGTTGGTTGCGGCATCAAGCTTGCTATCATTCTTCTGGTAGTGAGTGGCAGCCTCAGTGAATGCTCCTCCAGCCTTCCCCCACTGCTTGGCCATCTTGAACTTATTAGCAGCTTGCAAATAAAGCTCAATTGCCTCATCAACTTTGCTGCCCCCTCCTCTGCAAGAACAAATATTAAAAGCCACTGTACACATATATCAATAAATCTTCAATTTTTATCATTGAATAAATTATTTGCAGGGCATCAGGACAGTGAAATTTAAGAGAACTTAGAGAAGTAATATGTAAACAAGTAATATGTAAGCAAGTATTATATATTACAAGTTATATATAGTAATATATGAACATATTCAATCTGGGTTATTAGGCAGAACTTTCCTAAAATCACAGGGGAAAAAAAATTGAATGGTAGATTTTCAAAAATTCAGAACGCCGTTTTTATGCTGATGAATGCCATTGAATGGTGATGAAGGCCATTTTTTGTATTTTTGCCAAAAATAAAGAAAGTGCCATATAAACTGGTGAAATTAGAAATATTCATAGTAGTCTTGGCAGGCATGGAATACATCTACTTGGCAAGCTGCAACTGGATTTTTTGAGCCATGGTTTTATGGGTTTGCCAGCAGCAATTCCATTTCTTTGAGCCCTGATTCCATTTCTCCGAGCCATGAATTCCATATTTCGGCCATGAAAAGCCATTTACAACCCGCAAACTTATTTTCAAAGTCCCCTGCACGTGTTACCGTAAAATGGGGTTACTTTGACCGGTGGGGTAACTTTGACCACTTTTTGTTTTTTTAACAAAAACCCCCAAAAATCAAAAACGATTCAACATAGAAAAATTTTGTCAATGGCCATCAAAGGCCTAATACTGAGGCTACGTAACACAATAGAAAGATTTGAAAAGTTTGCATATCTAATAGGTTAATCTTTTTTTGAAATTACATCAAAACTATGAGAGGCAGGAGCCAGCAATTTATGGTGAGTAAAGCTAGAGTATAGACCTATATTTTGTATGTTTCAATTTAAGTTTAACTTATCTAGTAAAATAATGGCATGGTTTTGAAAAAAAAGTGGTCAAAGTTACCCCATTTTACGGTATGAATTCAAGTCTCATGACTGGAGATTTCAAAATTAATTGTACTATCACACAAGCATGATATAAGCTTTTTATCCTTTCAATGAACCAAGTTTATTTAGGTTCTATTGGCCGTAATGGGTTGAACAATGCAACATGATTATTGCCAACGATCGATTGTCCATCGGTTGGTTATTTCCAACGATCAGTTGGGTTGCGGGTTGACATTCGGCTCTTGATAATGCTGATTAATTGTGTACAAATATTGCGGTAGATACATCGTCCAAGAGTTTCAAAGAAAAGATTTTTATTTAAAGGATAATAAAATAAATCAATTTACAATTGTTTAATCCCTCTTATGGATATAAATAAACATCATTCGATTTATTTCAAAAGTGTTGCATAAATGAGCATTAGAATATTTCCTATGAATAAACCAAGTCAAAGTAGCAAAATAATTTGTTTGAATTTTAGATTTATACAAAAATAGTTCAAACCTCTATCAGAAACAACATAATTAATCATTCTCTTGCACTAAATATATGAAAGATAGTTGATTAGTCAGACTCGGTTACTGTCAACACTCAACAATGATCCTGCTAGATTATGCACCAGGAGGCGGGAATGAACTATGAAGCTATTTCAGTCGCACACTTGCTCTCGTGATGTGTAGTTCCGCTCGCCTGAATTGCAGCGTAGTTTTAATTACTTGATGAAGTTTAGTCCATTGCGGTCAACTTAAGAGACAAATCTCTAGCTAACTAATACTTTTTATAAGTTTAATTTTAATTGTTGAGTGAAAGGGGCAGGCATGCAAGTTCCAAGTGATTACTTTATAGAAACTGAGCAAGTTAGCGTACTTTTTATATGGTAAACGCGGTATATTCCGACATGGGTAATTCCAATGTCTCTAGTTTTTCCTTTATATTAAGCTTTGTTTTAGTTCCATGCGTTCGTTGATGGTTGAAATAGTGACGTCATTCATTTGCGCGTCGAACTACTGCCAAAACACTAGGTCTGGGCCATCTAGCGGGAAAATGTTGAGATCCGAAGAGAGACGGTGCATACCACTCAATGAGATCATCGAAAAATGTGTCAAAGTTGACAGTTGACCTTGCTCTATCAAATAGTGATAAACTGTGTAGAAAGAATATTATGGTTTGAGACTTTTAAATACGTCTGTGAATATATTAGGAATCCTTTAAGTATACTTTTTGCTGATTTCAAGTGGTAAATAAATTAATAGATGATTAAGTTGAGAAATGGATTTAGACACATAAAAACTAATTCCGACACAACTTGAATTGGACACACACAGCTCGTTCCAAGCTGTGTGCAAAAATTAAAATTTTCTTAATTAAAAGCTTAATAACTGTTAATTAAAAGCCTAATTAAGTAGTGCTCAATATTCAATAGTGTTCTAATTCAAAGCCGTGTTGTATTCCTATACAGCTCACACAGCAATCGGAATTCAAACACGTGGATGTCAGAATTACGTATTAGTACAATTTGAAGCGCGTTTGGAATGTCTCACCACGTGCCGAATATAGTCACACACAGTGTTGGAATATAGGGATTTGGTAGGTTTGCATTCTAAAGGCTTTTAAATAAATATGGCAACATTTTGTGTTGTTTCATTGTTGCTGGTACGTCATGCGGTGTTTTGAGAGTCACGTAAAGCAAACAGAACTCAAGTAACGCATACGTTTTTTTTATAGTTTTTCATTTCTCGATGCGTCCTCAATGTATCGGAATATACCGCGTTTACCCTAAGCCTTTAAAAAGTTCATCTTTTGCCTCAAATAACGATGTTGGGTCAAAAAATTGTCTTGGTGGATCGAAATAATATATGAACCTTCAAAATTAGAATTCCATCCTGGACGGTCATCGGTGACTGTGAGTGATGAGTGTCTACTGGTGTCAGTAGCGACCTTGTAACTTCTACCAAGCACAACGTGTACTCTTCTTTCAGTAGATTCCTATTGCTTATCCGTGAGTGATGCGCACAATTTACAATATTGGGATTTTTTCTGTGTTGCCTGACGTAACGTTCATGCCGAGGCCAATTTCTGGCGAGTGAGTGACAACCTGCAAACCTGTTTCTAGTTGCCACTTGCCTGGAATGTTTTTTTTTTTTTTTCAAGGCGGAACGCTTTTTTCAAGTGAACCTCTAATCTTAGATTTCCACTCTGCCTTAATGTGTCGGAATATGGTGTGTTTACGCTATGCCAATATTTTGGAACTGATTCAGTCACCAGGCAGGGTAAATTGATAAGTAAACAATAATTTCTAAAATTCCACCCTGATTAGAGAATAATTTGAAAATTTAATTTATTTTTCTCCACAAAATTATGCACCAATGGCAAGAAAGGTTCCAAAATCCAGATGTTATAACTAATAAGCAAAATCTATATTAACAATTCTAAAAGTGCCAAAACCAGATGAACAGAAAGTGAGAATGAAATTAGATTTAAAAGCCACTTTTAAGTTGTGAACTAGCCTCAAATAGGTATACCCATGTTTTAACCCTTTCATGATGGCAATGTGTTCTACAACTACAACTTTTTATTCATATTTTTCTACAGAATCATCATGAACTTGGACCGAATATTGCATCTCCGTAAAAAATAATTATATATATGTTAATGGTAAAAATTATATATTTGGGACTAGAAAATCCCGGTAGTAATATGGTTCCAACGTAGGTGACACAATTTGCGACATCACTGATTTTGATAAAAAAAATATTTTCGTAATATTTTTTGTTAGTAGTTGAATAACATCACAAACTTCCTTTGGCAAACGCGTGTAATAGCTTATACAATAACATACCCCCCAAAAAACTTTATTAATATTCCTTTAGATTGTACATATGTAGGCGCAGGAGTGTTTCTAATAAGTCCCTGTAGTTAGCTATGCCTTGAATTTAGAGCTACATGCAAGTTATAGAGTAAATCGTTGGGTGGGACGTCTCAGTCCTGTCAGTCAATTACTTTTGTGTTGACATGGCGCAGGAGTGTTACTCAGGGTGGAATTCTAGAAATGGAGGTTCACTTATAAAAAAGCTTTCCACTCAAGGTGGAATGCTTTCCCTAGATAGTAGATACAGTGCTCTGCAGTCTGTCAGGTGAGTGACTATATCACTATAAATCAAATAAATGAAAAGGAGGATCAAAAGTGGACAAACTGTTTCTATTGTATAGTACCTCAGATTTGCTATAAAATTGTTTGAATGTCTCTTTTTTGATAGATATTTTCTATTTTTCTTTTATTTAATGGATTTTTTGAAAAATTTCCAGGTTTTTTGTTTGTAATGATCAAGTTTAAGTTAAGTACCTATTAAGTTAACCAGCACTGTAGTACATATACTATATTGGGGGCGGGGCTTATGGGCACAACCAATCACAGCTTGAAAGCATCCTCATCAACCAATCACAGCTAGAAAGCAGATAACATTACAATTCCATCAACCAATCACAGCTGGAAAGCTGGAAGGGGCTAAAATCACAGTCCCATCAAGGCATCAACCAATCACAGCTGAAAAGTGATAGGATATGTATAATCATGGTGCCAATCCATAGGTTATTCAAAAGAACCTGTTCTTATGTCATTTTGAACCGATCAACACTTCTTTATGGACCTATTGTAAAACACACCTTCACCGGCAAAAGCTTTCACACTTCTGAAGAAGGTGAGCTGACAGCTACACTTGACCAGTAAAGTATCCTGGATACCAGCATCATCATGAATAAGAAATTTGTTTAAATCTTGGATAAATGAGGAAATTAAAAGTGAACTGATTCAAAAAATCTCTGCCTTCTCTGGTTTGTCACTATGCCTAAAACATAGTGGCAAAGCAGAGAGTTTTTTTAGACACTTCCTCAAGTTCATTTTTGAGTCCTATAAGTAGACCATTGAAGTATCGTTGATACCAGAATTATCATACATAAGAAATCTGTTAAAATCTTGAGTAAATGAGGAAATTAAAAATGAACTGATTCCAAACAATCACTGGTTTGCCACTATGGCCTAAAACATTGAGTGGGACGTCACAGTCCCGTCAGTCACGAAAGGGTTAAGCTAGACTGGTTGTAGGCTTGTAGCTTTGTCTAAATTCTAATATTAAATTTAGTAAAGTGACAGGTGACACATTAAAAAGCCATTGTGAAACTAGGCTATCACGTTTGCAAACAATTTATAAAAAAATGGTACCTGATATTCCAACCACTAAAAAAAGCTAGCCTAACTCGCGTGAAATGTGACCGAACAAAGATAGTGAAATGTGACCGAACAGGAACAGACCGAACTATTTTTTTAGACTAAAAAATCTCACCCGAGAAGGGAGCTGAAAAACCCTTTCGAAGAACTTAATTTTTTCTCTGCTTCAGCCATGAGCTGCATTCCTTTCTGTTCCGCATCAGCCATGGCGAAAGAAATACGATTTACTTAAACACAAGATAGCTGTACGCCCAAATACACTGCGCAACGCCAACAACCTATTGCAGTACTTTCAGCGTGAAGAAATAGATGTCGTAAGTATCGCAGCTGAGGAAAATTTAAAGCGTTGCATAGCTTCTTAAGAAGATCAAGCACTACAATAACACAACTGAGCATCATTTAAACCTTTGTGAGTAAATGTTTAAAGTGTTTATTATTACCTTCTACTGATCGATTTTCCATCTTTAGAAAGTAATTCCATTTTATTCCCATGTTTCAATGCATTCGTTGTATCGATTTGAAAACAGAAAGTTCATACACATGTAATCATCAAGAAAATTGTTTCTTATATCAGATTTTAAGGTGGATCTTTTCATCTTTATATCTCACCTGTCACAATATTTTATCTCTATCAACGAGCATGGAAATAAAAAATTATTCTTGGAAGTCGATTCGGTCTAAAGAGATAGTTTGCAGCATGACCGTGATGACGTTATAAACTCTTCGAAATAAATAATGATGGTGAGTGGCGATATTTCGCAACCACTCGGGCACTTCTGGTACAAATTTTCATAATATGTTTACCACTCATATCTTTTTCAAATCAAAATTTATCATGGTCCAATTAATACGATGCTATTAATTCACAATACGCTAATGCGGGCGATTCAAAATTTTTTGTCAGCTTGATTTTGATTAGCGCGCTAAACGCTAAGCGAATTGTGGATAATGAATTCCATTTTACTTAGGTCGAGATCAGTTTGATTTGACAGACATATGCGTGGAAATTTTGCTATGAAAATTCGTCTCAAAATATTCAGAATAATTTCTCGCCGAAGACCTTCAAGGCATTTCACGTAATGCAGCAAGCCTACATACCTGAGTTATACGATACCGCTATGCGGGTCAAAATTAGCAGTGAACAAGAAAGTCAAGTCGGACAAATTTACGGCCGGACTTGTGGCCAGTCCCCAAATTCAGTGATCAAGGAATAACTCCCAAACTAATGATCGCATCTCAATGAAACTTGGTACTGCCAACGGTGATGTTTAGATCGTCCAAATTTTATCGATTTTGCCTTCGATCGCGAGTTATTTTCCATTTCACCTTCATTCGTGGTTTAAACAGAACTAAGGGCTTAAATTTACAGTGATCAAGAAATGTCTTCTAAACTACTGAGTAGATTTGAACGAAACTTTGTATAATAATACCTAACCTACCAACGGTGGTTTAGCTCGTGACAATTTTTTCGATTATACCCAGAGCTGGGCAGCGCTACTCTGAAATGTGCGGCGCTACCGCTACAGCTACATGCTCTAAATGTAGCGGGCGCTACCGCTACCGCTAAACCCACTAGATTGTAGCGAGCGCTACCGTAAAAGCGCCACAGTAAAATGTAGCGCCGCTACATTAGCCGCTACAATGGCCAAAATAATCGGAAATCTCTAAATAAATATTTATTGTTCTGCTATTGGGATTTACTCAGAAACATTTAATGATAATAAAACATTTTCAAAACAAATCAATGCAACTTTATTGCAATTAACCTAATCGAACTAGTACGGGTTAGATACAATAAATAAAAGTTACAGTTATTTTTACGTTTTACCTTCCCTACCTGGATGTCTACTTTAATCTACCAATCTAAAAAATTATCCACATATACATATAAAAATCAGTCTTTTATTTGTATATATATGTGGATTATTTATGAGATTGGTAGATTAAAGTAGACATCCATGTAGGGAAGGTGAAAGATAAAAATAACTGTAAGCTAACTGAAACATGAAAAAATACCTGTAGGTGGTAACTGGTAACAACTTAACAAGTAACAACTAACATGTTAACACTATAGTAACAGGCTGAGGTTGACAATATTACACCGAAATCTTTCGTGCAGTTTTATTCTGTAATTTATATTATGTATTTATCATGCTGGTTTTTAAATAATATTTAATCCTATTAAGTAAAATCTAAAGGCTTTATCTATAAATGTAGCGGTAGCGCTGTAGCGGCAAAACCTCGTATCGCTACTTAAATCTGTAGCGGGCGCTACCGCTACCGCTATATTGCCTTAAATGTAGCGCCGCTACCGGTACTGAAAATGTAGCGGCCGCTAGTAGCGGCCGCTACATGTAGCGCGCTACTGCCCACCTCTGATTATACCTTCGTTTGCGAGTTATACGGCTATACGTATAAGGCTCGTGGTCCTTGCAAATTTAAATTAGGCCTCAGTAATGCCGGTCGTTTCTTTGTAAGCGACAAGTTAACTTTTTACAATATCTCATACATTTGCAAAACAGTTAGCATGAACCGGCGTTTTGGCTATGTGTGCGCCCTGCATGTGTGAGGCGAATGAGCCTGAATGAATAATAATATCACTCGTTTGCTTGAAGCGCAAATTCACTAAAAACTTAATAGCAAAGAAAACACCACAAAATTTCATAGTATCTTTAAAGAAAACGTTTCGGAGTCCAGCTCCATCGTCAGTTTTTTGGCCTTGATTTTTGTTTGCCCATTTTTAAGTTAGACTATTATAAATTTTTTTTAGCCTTTGAAAGACTTGCTTTGAGTATAAAGAATGTTTGTAATAGTATAGCATGTTTGTATAGTAATAGTGATAGTAATGGTATTGGTATTAGTATTCGCATTAATATTAGTATTAGCATTAGCATTATCATTAGCATTAAGCATTATACATTAGACATTAGGCATTAGGCATTAGGCATCAGGCATTAGGCATTAGCATCAGGCATTAGGCATTAGCATCAGGCATCAAGTATCAAGTATTAGGCATTAATCATTCATCAGTAGGCATTAAGCATTAAACATTAAGCATTGGGCACTGGGCACTGGACAGTGGACAGTGGACAGTGGGCACTGGACAGTGGACAGTGGACAGTGAGCACTGGACAGTGGACAGTGGGCACTGGACAGTGGACAGTGAGCAGTGGGCACTGGGCACTGGACAGTGGACACTGGGCACTGGGCACTGGACACTGGGCACTGGACACTGGGCACTGGACACTGGACAGTGGACAGTGAGCACTGGGCACTGGACAGTGGACAGTGGGCACTGGGCACTGGACACTGGACACTGGACACTGGACACTGGACACTGGACAGAGGACACTGGGCACTGGGCACTGGACACTGGACAGTGGACAGTGAGCAGTGGGCACTGGGCACTGGACAGTGGGCACTGGACACTGGGCACTGGACACTGGACACTGGACACTGGGCACTAGATAGTGGACAGGGGACACTGGGCACTGGGCACTGGGCAGTGGACAGTGGACACTGGGCACTGGGCACTGGACAGTGGACACTGGGCACTGGGCACTGGGCACTGGACAGTGGACACTGGGCACTGGACAGTGGACACTGGGCACTGGACAGTGGACACTGGGCACTGGGCATTGGGCACTGGACAGTGGACACTGGGCACTGGGCAGTGGACAGTGTGCACTGGGCATTGGGCACTGGACAGTGGACAGTGGGCACTGGGCATTGGGCACCGGGCACTGGGCACTGGACAGTGGACACTGGGCACTGGACAGTGGACACTGAGCACTGGACAGTGGGCACTGGGCACAGAACAGTGGACAGTGGGCACTGGACAGTGGTCACTGGGTACTGGGCACTGGACAGTGGGCACTGGGCAGTGGGCACTGGACAGTGGGCACTGGGGCAATGACATTGGCATTTGCATTGGACTCGGCATCGGTATCGGCATTAGCGTTGGTGTTGGCGTTGGCGTTGGCGTTGGCTTTAGCGTTGGCTATGTGTCGTTGTCGTTGGCGTTGGCTTTGGCGTTGGCTATGTGTCGTTGGCGTTGGCGTTTGCGTTGGCTTTGGCGTTGGCGTTGGCATTAGTATAGTATAGTATATTCGGCATTGAAGAATAGGCCTCGATAGGCCTGTCGCCGATTCCTGTATTTTTCTTGACTAGACTGGCTTTTAGATCAAATATTTTCAACGGACGGTAGGTTTAAAATCGTTTCAATATTTCACTTGTTCCGTAAGATAAGAGGCATTTCAAGACTGAACATATGCTCCTGCATGGCTTTGTCTAGTCTGTTTTTGAACGCGTTCATGCTCGGAGCGTCGACAATGTCATCAGGGAGGCTGTTCAACATGTCGGTGACTCGAAGCGAGAAGTGCTGTCGCATGGATGAGTTGCACCGCAGTTATTTTAGTTTATAGCTGTGGCCTCTGGTGTTGGTTCTTGTTTCTAAATCTAGTAATCCTTCTGGGACCTTGTACAAACCATGAGTATACTTGTATACTTCAATGAAGTAACCACGCACGCGACGATATCGGAGACAGGGAAGTTTCATAATTTTTAATCTCAATTCATAGGACTTGCCCTTTAAGCCAGGAACTATCCTTGTTGCACGTCTCTGAACACTATTTAACTAAATTTTTGTCTTTGTCAAGTCTCGGTGACCACATAACGTTTCCAAACTCTAGGTTCGGGCGCACGACAAAAACTCTAGGTAACAGCTTCATCATTTCTATATCTAGGTACTCGTAGGAGCGTCTGATCAGCCCTAGTAGTTCATGGATTTATTAACTTGTGTTTCAGTATGCCTATAAAATTTAAGCTCCAATTGTCGACACAAACTCCAAGATCTTTTTCTACGCAAGACTTCTCCATCATAACCCACTGAAGAGGATTTGAACAGTATTCCAGCTATTGAGGAGCGCCCAGTCGGTTCTAAATTAACAAGTTTTGAAATACAAGAAAAAGAGGTTCTCAAGCGCCTTATCNATGGACGGACAGAAAAAGGTTAGTAAGGTGCTGGATTTAGTCGGCAGCTCGGGCTTGAACTAAGACTAAGTTAGAACTAAAGAACTTTAGTCGGCACTCAGCTTAATGTGGCAAACGTTTTCAGTCAATATTACGCAAGTTACCAGGTACAGTAAAGCGTAATCATACATACAAGGCGTAGTCTTGTATCAAGTTGTATGATTACGTATGAAATTTGACGCTGATCTACGTCTGTCTCTTATACACATCTAGATGTGTATAAGAGACACCAGCAGGCGAGTCCAATTATTCAAGGTAGACAGGAGATTAGTG